CATTATGAAATTAGAATAAATGAGAATGCAAGAAAACTTACTGATCAAGCAGAAATAATAGAAAATCTCTGGTTGGTTAGAGAGGTCAGTCCCACTCAAAACCTTTTAGAAGCTAATATCCCTGCCCTGCTGCCAGTGCTGTTCAATGAATCTGGGTCACAGGAGGCTTTGACAGCACCTCTCCACATTAAGACAAGTTTTGGACGAAGCTGTCTCACTACCAGGCTATCAGATCTACAGAGCAGACTGGGTAAAGGAGCTCCCAGGGAAGGCAAGGGTAGGAGGAGTTTGCTTTTACATACAATCAGCACAGAAGAAAAACACCCAGACTCTTTACTTATTGACTTAGGCGATTTTAACAGGGCAAACCTCAGCCATGAGCTGCCAACATACAGGCAGAACATCAGCTGTGCCACCAGAGACAAAAACACGCCAGACCATTGTTACACTACATTAAAGGACGCCTACCACTCTGTCCCTTAAGCAACATTGGGGCTCTCTGACCACTGCCTCGATCATCTCATCCCAACCTACAAGCAGAAACTAAAAACTGTGAACCTGTGACCACAGCGGTGAGGAAGAGGACCATGGAGGCTAAGTCAGAGCTGCTGGCCTGCTGCGATTGCACAGACCAAGGAGGAGGCCTTCAGGAGTGGGGACAGGGACCAGTATAAACAGACCAGAAACAGTCTGAAAAGTGAAGTCAGAAAGGCTAAAATGAGTTATACCAAGGAGCTAGAGAAACAGACCCCAGCCAATGACCCTGCCACTGTGTGGAGAAGCCTGCAGAGGATCATAGGCTACAGGAAACCACTGCTGTAGAAAACTATCAACTGGCAGAAGAACTGAATCAATTTTACTGCAGGTTTGAGATACAGAACCCTATAGAGTTCAAATGCACCACTGTCATCGGACTCATTGACTACAGACCTGTCACCCTGACATCTGTGGTCATGAAGTGTTTTGAGAGGCTGGTGCTGACGCATCTGAAGGACATCACAGGCCTGCTGCTGGAACCCCCACAGTTCACCTACTGGGCAAACACATCAATGGATGATGCAGTCAACATGGCACTGCATTACATCCTGCAACATGCTGACTCCCCAGGGACCTATGCACAGATCCTCTTTGTGGACTGCTGCTGTTCTCCCTATACACCAATGACTGCACCTCAGGGGACCCCTCTGTTAAACTCCTAAAGTTCGCAGATGACACAATGATCACTGGCCTCATCTGTGACGACAAGTCTGTGTACAAACAGGAAGTTGAAAAGCTGGCCCTGTGATGGAGACATGACCTGGAGCTGAACACACTCAAAACAGTGAAGATGACAGTGGGCTTCAGGATGTCCCCCATCACTCTATCCTCCCTCACCATACTCGGCAGCACTGTGTCAGTGAAGTCCTATAAATTTATGGGCAATGCTATCTCCAAGAGTCTGAAGTGGAAGTCCAACATCAGCACCATCATCTAAAAGCCACAGGAGAAGAGTACTTCCTGCACCAGCTCAGAAAGCTCAACCTGCCCCAGGAGCTGCTGATACAGTTCTACAGAAGAATCATTGAGTCTGTTCTCTGCTCTTCCATCACTGTCTGGTTTGGCTCAGCAACCAAACAGAACAGAAACAGGCTCCAGCAGACAGTCTGGACTGTGGAAAAGATCATCTGTGCCAACCTGCACACTTTGGAGGACCTGCACACCTCATGGGTCAAGAGAAGGGTGGAGAAGATTCTGCAGACCCTCATATCCAGGTCACAAGCAAAACACTGCAAATTGACCAGACACATCGCTCTCATGAAGAGATATCTAGGACTTTAATCATGACTTTAGGACTATAACAATCACTCTGATGAATAGTCAACCAGGACTGCAATAACAAGTTCATAGTGCAATAAACTTTAGCTAGAGCTCACCACATGCACCAGTATGATAGCTCAAAAGGTATATACTGTATGTATACAATATTTATGAACAGTGCCTCTCCTCCTCCTTCATTTCTGCTGGAATGTCTTGGTTGAGACCGATGATGTTGTGTTGTCTGCAAACTTTGAGTTTGACAGAGGGGTTCCCAGAGGTGCAGTTGTTGGTGTACAGGGAGAGGAGCAGTGGGGAAAGCATACAATCACTAGGAGCACCTGTGCTCACTGACTGGATGCTGGATAAGGTTTTCCCCAGGCCCACCTGGTGCAAGGACAATAATCTCAGCCTCAACACAGACAAGACGAAGGAGATGATAGTGGACATGAGGAAGGAGAGGAGATCTCATCGGCCGCTGTTCATCCAGGGGCTCGAGGTGGAGAGGGTGAGCAGCTTCAAATACCTGGGCGTCCACATCAGTGAGGACCTCACCTGGACACTTAACACCACACAGCTGGTCAAGAAGGCCCAATGGCGGCTGTACTTGCTGAGGAGGCTGAGGAGGTTTGGCATGTCACCTAGGATCCTTTGCATCTTCTACAGCTGAGAGCATCTTGACCAGCTGCATCACTGTCTGGTATAGCTGCACTACTGCTATGGACCGCAAGCGCCTGCAGAGAGTGGTAAAGACTGCAGAGAAGATCACTAGGACTCCACTGCCCTCTCTGCAGAGCATTTACCACCGCAGGGTGTGTAGGAAGGCTGCCTCCATCCTCAAAGATCCCACCCACCCCCAGCACACCTGTTCACTTCTCTGCCCTCTGGCCGGAGATTCAGAAGTGTGAAATGTAGGACCACTAGACTGAAAAACGCTGTCTTTCCCTCTGCCATCAGACACCTAAACAGCTGAGGTGTTTATTACCAGGAAATATGTGATGTACTGTTTACATTCTGTTTGCACATGCATAATTGCACAATGACTGTTGACTGCTGCACATGCTGCTCCCATGCAGCATACATTCTGTTATATTCTTGTATATATATAGTTTTTTCTACTATATTGCTGCATCTGCACTGCTTAAAGTGCCTTAAATTTTGTGCCTTAGACTACAGAGATAATGTTTTATACTCTGAAAGTTAGCGTATAGACTTCTGCTATTAAAGTAAATAGTGATAATTTGTTTACAGTCTTGACATTGCTGTTAAACTGCTCATCCGTGTAATACTTGCAGTTATTTTCAAAGTTCTTGAAAAAGTTTTTTTCAGGGTCAAAGCCATTGTCCAGTTCATGATAATGAATTTCAGAGTCTCCAAATGTGTTCAGTTCCAGATCCAGTCCCTCAAAAACTATTAACTTCTGTAACAAATCACTTGCCTCATATCATCCATTGGTCATGCTTGTTATTGTTGGTTCCAAAGCTCATCTGCCATCGCAGATATCGATATACCTGCATGTTTCACACCGTTTCACACAATATAACTCTTATAAATTGCAAATTTAAATAAACATGCCCTTACATGTTAAATGTCTGTCATGACTCTTTAGACGCTTTAATTGCCATCAACTCTCTTCTTCTCTTTCTCACAGACTCGGGGTAATCACCGCCCTCGGTCCCCGATCAGAAAGATTCCCGACTCTGTAAACCGGTTCCATCTCTATATCTTGATGAATTTGCAGTTTGTCCTTTAAAATCTCCTTCTTGACCTCAGCCTCCTGTAACCTCACTGTTCCACTTACCTCCCTCTTGTTCATACACATGTATTCTGTCTTATCACAACTGACTTTCATTCCTCTTCTTTCCAGAGCAGACCTCCACCTGCTCTCTGCTCTCACTACAAATCACAATATCATCCGCAAACATCATTGTCCAGGGAGATTCCTGTCTGACCTCATCTGTCAACCTGTCCATCACCATAGTAAACAAGAAGGGACTCAAAGCCAATCCTTGATGTAGCCCCACCTCCACCTTGAACTCCTCTGTCTGACCTACAGCACATCTCACTACTGTCGTAC